ACACAAATAAATATGCAAGTTAAAAAAAAAAACACCCTATTAGATTACAATCACAATTATGGCAAATAAGAAGAATGTGTCGAAATTCTAAATTATGAGAAAAAGGGTGAAAAAATGGATATAAAAGAAGAAGTACAAATCTATCTACACTCAAAAGAACACGGCAACCAAATCTAAATATATAAAATCCAATGTATGTTTGTTTGTATGATTGTTTGTCCTTTATGGACTCCGAAACCGCTCGACAGATTGTAATGAAACTTTTAGGTATTATTAAGCATTATTCAAGGATGGTTTGTGTGATATTTGGTGCAGATCCGTCAAAAGGGCTCCGCCCCAGTGGCTCTGGAGTTTCCCATGTTAACCTTATGAGTACTCATATTTAAATGGAATTAAAGAATCTTAACAGCTGGTTCAACTAAACAATTTGATTCTGTGATGTTCAATAGCATTAAAAATTTAATAGGTTTACCAACAGGGTGCAGCACTATTATTTTTTTAAATTTATGACAACAGCTAATTTAGCGAACGAACTTCAACCAGGACGTGATTGAGTCATCCGAACGAGCTCATCTTGAAAATGAACGAGCATTTGACGAAAAAACCACATTAGGACAGGACGACGTCTGTCGGGCCAGCTATTTCTTAATTAGTGATGGTCGGATCCGGATATCAGACTACCAGATCAGCCGGATCCGAGCTAGAACCGGCACCGGATCAGATCCAAAAAATTCTGGATCTTGGGCTGGATCCGGTTTTGAGGGATCCGATTTTTTCAAATTTTTTCCCAATTCTTTTCAAACACAAAGCTGTCTGTATCACTGTACAACCCCGATTTGTTTAACTAAACACAAAGCTGTCTGTATCACTGTACAACCCCGAATGTTTTTACTAGCACAAAGCTGTCTGTATCACTGTACAACCCCGATTTGTTTACTAACATAAAGCTGTCTGTATCACTGTACAACCCCGATTTGTTTACTAGCACAAAGCTGTCTGTATCACTATACAACCCCGATTTGTTTACTAAACACAAAGCAGTATGTATAACTGTACAACCCCGATTTGTTTACTAACACAAAGCTGTCTGTATCACTATACAACCCGGGTTTTTTTACTAACATAAAGCTGTCTCTACCACTGTACAACCGCGAATGTTTTTACTAGCACAAAGCTGTCTGTATCACTATACAACCCCGGTTTGTTTACTAACATAAAGCTGTCTGTATCACTGTACAACCCCGAATGTTTTTACTAGCACAAAGCTGTCTGTATCATTGTACAACCCCGATTTACTTACTAACATAAAGCTGTCTGTATCACTGTACAACCTCTAATGTTTTTAATAACACAAAGCTGTCCGTATCACTGTACAACCCCGATTTGTTTACTAGCACAAAGCTGTCTGTATCACTGTACAACCCCGATTTGTTTACTAACATAAAGCTGTCTGTATCACTGTACAACCCCGATTTGTTTACTAACATAAAGCTGTCTGTATCCATGTAAGAGACCGATTTCCCCCCGATTTGTTTACTAACACACAGCAGTCTGTATCACTGTACAACCCCATTTGTTTACTAACATAAAGCTGTCTGTATCACTGTACAACCCCATTTGTTTACTAACATAAAGCTGTCTGTATCCATGTAAGAGGCCGATTTCCCCCCGATTTGTTTACTAACACAAAGCTGTCTGTATCACTGTACAACCCCGATTTGTTTACTAACATAAAACTGTCTGTATCCATGTAAGAGACCGATTTCCCCCCGATTTGTTTACTAACACAAATCAGTCTGTATCACTGTACAACCCCGATTTTTTTACCAACACAAAGCTGTCTGTATCATTGTACAACCCCGATTTGTTTACTAACATAAAGCTGTCTGTATCCATGTAAGAGACCGATTTCCCCCCGATTTGTTTACTAACACAAAGCAGTCTGTATCACTGTACAACCCGATTTGTTTACCAACACAAAGCTGTCTGTATCACTGTACAACACCGATTTTTTCCCGATTTTTTTTTTTAACTAACACAAAGCTGTCTGTATCCATGTACAAGACCGTTTTTTCCCCGAGTGTTTGTCTCTTGATGCAAACAACTTATATGGCAAGGCCATGTCTCGATGTTTGTATCTAGATGCAAATAACTTGTATGGCAAGGCCATGTCTTAGTGTTTGCCTCTTGATGCAAATAACTTGTATGGCATGGCCATGTCTCAGAGTTTGTCTCTTGATGCAAATAACTTATATGGCAAGGCCATGTCTCATTGTTTGCCTCTTGATGCAAATAACTTATATGGCGAGGATATGTCGCAGTGTTTGTCTCATGATGCAAATAACTTATATGGCAAGGCCATGTCTCAGGGTTCGTCTCTTGATGCAAATAACATATATGGCAAGGCCATGTCTCAGTGTTTGTCTCTTGATGCAAATAACTTATATGGCAAGGCCATGTTTCAGCGTTTGTCTCTTGATACAAATATATAACATATACGGCAATGGCATGTATCTTTTCGAACTGAATCCGTCCCGATTTTTCGGATATCTGCACACCTCTAGTTTTTAGTTTTGTACCTGGATGATAAGCTAACGGCCTATAATCTTGTCTCGAAAATATCCCGTTAGTATTTCAATTTCACCCGATGCTTTGTGATAAAAAATAATAAAAGTATGATTTAAATTGGCATTCTGTTAATTACGTTTTTTTTTTAACCCGCCCTTATGACAGTGTGTATCTGGATCCGAAGATCCGAAGATCCGGATCCGAATTTTTCAAGATCCGGATCCGAATTTTTCAAGATCCGGATCCGGTACCGACATTTACTTGGATCCGCCCATCACTATTCTTAATATAATGCAAAAACAAAATCCAATTCATGAAAAAATCTGAAAAATCAGGGAAAAATTGTATACATTCACATGTTAAAAAAATACACCTAACCAATCAAAATCAAAATTTACTATGCATTCAAAACATATGTTATTAACTATTTATTTATTTGTTTGTTTACATACTTTTATAATACTGTGATCATGGTCTTAGTGCCGAAATACGTATTAGTTTAATAAAAATGAATTTCAGGGTACTCTAGTTTTTATTATTTTACTTATTTATTGAAATAGTAGCCCTAAAAAGTGAAATGAAATGAAATGAAAATCCTTTATTTCAACAGGCAAAGTTAGGGCCACATGGCCCTTTCTTACACTTAACCTGCATACATAATTTGAACTGTTTGTTTCACTTTTTTTTAAAAAAGTGAACAAAACTAAAAAAAAATAAAAAAATGTATATAAATAGATTTATATATATATATATATAAATACGTCCGTTAACGCGATAACTTGAGTAATTTTTGCCCGATTTTGATGAAATTTGGTTGAAAGGTGTAAGGCGGGATAAACTTGAATGAGTTCGCGAACCAGCATAATCGGACCATGGGAACGGGGTTTAACGTCCGCACTAGTGAGTATTACAACTATCCGCAGTACTATCCTGATAATTAGACCAATTCTTATATACCAAGGAAAAATATGTGGTTCGGATTCCACTATAAACTGTAGGTCCCTTAGTTGCCATTAGCTGTTTGGGCTATTAATTAACAGCTGTTTCTAAGGAATGTCGGCCTTAGTCACTAACAAGACTACAAGATCCCGCCACTCATCCTACACTCATCTCCATTCATACTTGGCTTAAAATACCTACATTGTATGGTCGCCATTTCATACGAAAGTATTAAGTATTAACGGGGGTTTTATGGGGTAAAAAATGGTTTTTCTCATTTTTGACCTTGAGGGTTTTTCTCATTTTTGACCTTGAGGGTTTTTCTCATTTTTGACCTTGAGGGTTTTTCTCATTTTTGACCCTCAAAACATAAAATTTCCCAATTTTTCTCTAGACCTTTTTAAAGAGCTTAAAAAACAAATAATTTAGTTTATCAAAGTGTTTTTGTACGGTTATTGGTAACGGAGAAAATTCAAAAAATTGTAAATTTTAAAATTCCCATGTTATTTTTATTGAGTATATTGTAAAATGTTGTAGTTTGCTTGTTTATGGATATATTTTGAAAAAAAAAACTTGGCAAATTTATTTATTTTATACTAAGCTATTAATATTTTACTAAAACCCCACATTAACAGTTTCCTTGTAGAAGCAAACCTAGGTACTTGTTAAACCTAATGTTATTTAAAATTTAAATAGATTTTATTGAAAATCAATTCCGACAAATGGAAATTTGCTTAGTCGGCAGGTTTGCTGCGGCGGGTGTATTTTTAATTATCTCCGTAACCGTTAGGCATACAACAACGCTTCAATATACTAAATTATTTCTGTTTTTTTAGCTCTATAAAATGGTCTAAAAAGAAATTGTAAAATTTTATGTTTTTAGAGTCAAAAATGGGAAAAACTAATTTTTACCTAATAAAACCCCCCATAAACTCCTGTTCCCACGGTCCGATCATGCTGGTTCGCGGACTTGTTGGAATAAACGTAGGTTTACACGTTTGTACAAAATTTCATCAAAATCGGATCTTTTTGCTCGAGTTATCGCGCTAACGGACACACACATATATATGAATATGCATTTGAACGGAGGGTGTTTTTGGCCTCTGGGGACCTCAAAACGAAAAAGTAAATCGGTCCTGGGTCTAGGTCTTACCATGAGACCTACCGTAATAGATTATTCCCTATATGGGAAATTTGCTAAAACTGTTACTGGTACAAAATATTATTTTAATATAGCATTTTTGACAAAAACCATCTATAATTGTGCTCGTTCAAAAATAAGTTTACAGAATTAAGAACCAAGACTATGGAGTGGAAGAGGTTTAGATTCACACAGAACTTACAAAATTCAAAGATGGCAACTGGCAGACAGACCTTACATCATTCAGCATGCCTTAAATTGTTTAATATAGCTCCTTGGCATAGTCCTATTTCAAAATAACCTAAAGAAAATAAAAGAATAATTTGATGAACAATCAATTTAAGTAACTTACTCAGAAAAAGGAAGTTCAATTGACGTTTCATCATCTTGACCAAACAGGAAGACCAAGAAGTGGTAACGGGTTTGGCCTTGTTTGATTGGAGGGTCCAAACTCACCTAAAAAGTTGTAATTATTAAATACTAGGTAATTAGGCTTTAAGACTGTTGTGGTTAAATTCTCTAAACAGACAAAAGCATCAAATTCATTCAATTCCTAGTTCTGGTGTTAATGTTATTGTTGTATTAATTAAGTATGGAACAAAGGAACATTTTGGAATATTCTACAACACAATCGTGTGTAATGTGTTTGCTCAACCAATTTGAATGAAAATAACTTACTACAAAGAAGTTCTGCCTGCCATCCTTATGAGGGAGAGCAAACAGCCGTAGCACAGTTGACATTGGGATTTTGTAGTCAAAGGTTTTACCATGGAGCTGGAAGAAGGTATTGAATACTTTGATGTCATAACGACCACTGAAAAGTAACAAAACACAATGTTACATTGTAACATATTTTTACAATCAAATAATCATTACATATCATGAACTAAATATGAGGAAAACATACTAAACAATGGTCAAGTTTTATTTTAATAACTTAATGGAAAATGCATTTTAGTATGTGATTAATATGTTAATTGTCCAATTTCTTGATATTTAGTACAGCTTATATTTTTGTTTGAAAACATCGTTTTGAACCATTTCTGTACTCATTGAACTAATAACAGGATTTAACTTGTTTTGAAAATACAAAATCCCCTGAATTCAATAATGTGATTAAACTGGTGCTAATAATCTACATAACCTGACAGAGTTTGAGAATATTGCCGAATGGTAAATGAATAGAATCAATTAAAAGTCTGAGACAAACTTTTACAAATATTTAGCATCTTGTTAAGAGTTTTTTTCTCAAAAATGTTTACTTAATCCCATTTTACATTTTAAAAAATAAATCGTACTAGGTACCTATTAATTTTTTTTTAGTAGAATAGGCCTATAAACAAATTTATTAGGATAACAATCAGGATAGTAAAATACACCCGCCGCAGCAAACCTGCAGACTAAGCAAATTTCCAATTACCTAATATGATTTTTAAGCAAATCTATTTAAATAACATTAGGATTAACAAGTATTTGGGTTTGCTGCTACAGGGAGGGTAATAAAGTGTTTTTTTTAACAAAATAATATTAATAGCTTAGTATAAAATAAAAAAACTTGCCAAGATTGATAAGATTATATCCAGAAACAAGCAAACTAAAACAGTTAACTTATTCCCTATACAAATAATAACATGGAATTTTAAATTATTTTTTTTTTCATCCGTAACCAATAACCGTAAAAAAAACTTCAATATACAAAATTATTTGTTTTTTGTAGCTTTTTAAAATGGTTTGAAGAGAAATTGGAAAATTTTATGGTTTAAGGGTCAAAAATGAGAAAACTCAATTTTTACCCCACAAGACCCTGTTCCCATGGTCCGATCTGCTGGTTTGCAAACTCATTCATGTATATTTCGCCCTATAGGCGAGGTGCTAGGTGCAGTTGAGTATGCATGAAGAGAGTCAGAGATTTTGACTTTTGATTTTGGTAATGGGGGCCTAGGTGAGTGTAAAAACCCATGTCGTCGCCTCCAGGGGTGGTCGACAACTTAGGGGTGGGGGCGCAAAATTGCGAAACCGATTTAAACTTCCTTGTTATTGAACGTAAGTAAAAGATTCATTTAAATTGAGTTTTCATTTATTAATGGGGGCCTAGGTGAGTGTAAAAACCCATGTCGTCACCTCCAGGGGTAGTCGACAACTTAGGGGTGGGGGCGCAAAGTTGCGAAAAACGTTAATCGGCAAACTACTTTTAACTCCCTTGTTATTGAATGTAAGCTTCAGTTTCCAATAGTCAATGATGTAAGTAGGCCTAAAAGATTCTTTTAAATTGACTTTTTATTTTGGTAATGGGGGCCTAGGTCAGGTTAAAAAACATTGTCGGTCGACAAATTTGGGGTGGGGGCGCAAAGTTTCATGTGCTTATACTATACATACACCCGCATATGTAACTGACTCAGGTATACAAATGTTTGAGCACTTCTAGCGGTGCTAGGGAGTTGAAATTTGGCACGCTTCTATGTCTTGGGCCCAAAACCCCAAGGAAATTCTGAAAAGTGACATTTTCATATTTTAACTCCCCTGAAATCTCGAATTTCCCCTCCATGTCATTCTTATAGGGAATAGCATTGAAAGTGGTCGACTTCGTGTGCTCATCACTGAACCGTTTATAAAGGTGCTAGAGACTTAAAATTTTGTAGCATTGTAGTATGGGGTCTTAAATTAACGGTCAAATTTTCAAAAGTCCCATTTTCAAATTTTAACCGCCCCCCAAAAATCCAAAATGGCTGACACCTAAAACTAAAAAAAACCCATTTTTTAAACGGCTATAGCTCTAAAACGGTAAGAGCTAGAAAAGATTTTAATGAATTTTCATGGTCAGGAATTAATTTTTCTACAAAACACTAACGATGTGTTTTTCAAAAATCACACTCACCTAAAAAAAACACCCTACTTTCAAGATTTGGTAAATTTCTTTCAAATATATTACGAATTTTGCTATTTTTTTCTACCTAAGAAATTTTTTTGTGCAAATATTATTAATGCTTTGTATTAAGCTTAGTTTACTTTAAATTCTACATATTACATGTTTTTTTCATAACTTTACTCCTTGACCCCCAAAACTGAGGTTTAAAGTCAAAATTTGAAAGGTTTTTACCACTTTTACGAGCCCCATGTTATTCTTATGGAGGATAACTATGAAGTTTAAAGACTTTGGTATGCTCATCTGATTCGTTTAGAAACGTGCTAGAAACTTGAAATTTAATAGTATTGTAGTATGGGATCCTAAATTAACGGTGAAATTCCCAAAAGTCCCATTTAAAAATTTTAACCCACCCAAAAATAAAAAATGGCGGACATCTAAAAACGAAAAAACACGTTTTTTTAAACGGCTATAACTAAAAAACGGTATGAGCTAGAAACGATTTTAAAGAATTTTCATGGACTTAATTTTTGAAAGTAGGGCGTTTTTTTTTTTGGGTGAAGGGGTGTGATTTTTGGAGAACGCCAAGTAGGGTTTTAGAATTAAGTTTTCTACAAAACCCTACTTGGCGTTCTCCAAAAATCACACCCCTTCACCCCAAAAAAACGCCCTACTTTCAAAAATTGGTAAATTTAGTTCAATTTTTTTAATGGTTTTTGCTACTTTTTCCAAACTAATCAATTTTATTTTTTTATATTATAAATGCCTCTTTAAAATTTACTCTTTACTTTACATGTTTTTTAGTAGCTGCTTTATTTCACCCCTAAAATGTAAGATTAATGTCAAAATTTGAAAGATTCTAACACTGTTACGAGGCTATAACAGTTTCCCATGTTATTCTTATTAGGAATAAGCTCGTACACTCACGTAGGCCCCCATTAATAAAATAAAAAGTCAATTTAAATGAATCTTTTACTTACGTTCAATAACAAGGGAGTTCAAATCGGTTTGCCGATAAAAGTTTTCCGCAACTTTGCGCCCCCACCCCTAAGTTGTCGACCACCCCTGGAGGCGACGGCATGGGTTTTAAACTCACCTAGGCCCCCATTAATAAAATAAAAAGTCAATTTAAATGAATCTTTTACTTACGTTTAATAACAAGGGAGTTAAAAGCGGTTTGCCGATTAACGTTTTTCGCAACTTTGCGCCACCACCCCTAAGTTTTCGACCCCCCCTGGAGGCGACGACATGGGTTTTTACACTTACCTAATCAAATCAAATCAAATCAAAATATCCTTTATTCATTTAAGTACAATTGTACAGGAATAGAGTCAGATCTTACAAAATAAAATGTTTTACATTTAAGAACTGATAATAAGACAGAATATTTATTTTATTTGTTCTCCCAAAACTCTTCAAGAGAATAAGGGGCAATTTTAATCAAATACTGTTTCAGACAATTTTTAAACTTTTTTGTATCATTTTCAGTTAGAAGTATTTTTGGAAGATGGGACATAAATTTATTTCCTGTGAATTTTGTTTTCTTTTTATAAAATTCTAGATTGTGTCTATCAATTTGAGATTGAGAACGAGTGTTATAATTATGACTAATTTTGTTTGATACCTGAGTTTTTGTAATATTTTTTGCATAAATAATAGTTTCCAAGATATATAGTCCATGAACAGTTAGTATTCCAAGATCGGTAAAAATATGCTTTACCGAATCTTTCCTTTTCAAATTAAACATTGTTTTTGGCAACTTTGCGCCCTCACCCCTAAGTTGTCGACCACTCCTGGAGGCGACGACATGGGTTTTTACACTCACCTAGGATCCCATTACCAAAATCAAAAGTCAAAATCTCTGACTCTTTTCATGCATACTCAACTGCACCTAGCACCTGTACTACTACACCTTCAAGCCAAATTTAATAAAAAACGGACAAAAATTACTTAAGTTATTAAAATACAAACAACATAATAATTTGTAATTTTACAAGTTAGTAAAATTACAAAAGTTACTTAAGTTTCAAAGACGTGTATATATAAATTAGAGGTCTGCGGTACAGAAAATTTAAGGTCGGTACAATTCGATACGGTAAAACATTTTGTACCTCGGTTCTCGGTACAAAATCGGTACGGTAGGGGGCTACCATTATTTTTGTCTATTTTCTTCTCAGAATTGTATTTAAACCAATATTTTAAATTTAAACATTGACATTACTATGAAAATGGATAGTATCGTACATTCGTGGTTTTTTAACAACTAAACAGTCCATACATTATTAAAACCTTTATTATTAACAGTATTGTGTTAGTTAAGATGACTTTACCTATGTTATTTACTAAGATAAGGCATAGCCATGAAAAAGAGAGTTTTAAAATTAAGTTAACAATTTTTAGGAATAAATATTATGTTTGAAACAGCAATTTTATAAGATAGTTCAATAACTACTGGTAAATTATTTCTAACTAGGCCTAAACACAATAACTGGGTGTTCCTTTCATCTTAGGCTCAATTCAATTTTCTTAGTATATTTAAAAGCTTTTCCAAAGAATCAAAAGACCCAGGCCTTATTATTTAGGAGGGTATATATTTAATGTTATTGCAAAATTTTGTAAGTTTTTTTTGTATATTATCAAATACAAAATTTAAAATTAATCCAAACAAAAATGGTGGTTTCCACTACTTACGTGATTTAAATTCCATAAACGTTTAACAAATAAAGTGGTATGGTTGAGTTTTATTTCTAAAAGTGTTGGTGGATGTCTAAATATTTTATACAACATAATAATGTAAAGATTAAATTTGTCTATTTCATCCCAGTAGGGTAGGACAGCTAGTAAAATATAAAACTCATAAAAATAATGTTGTTATCAGTAAGTGATGATACAAGTTTGCTGATAGGCTACTAATGAATGAGTGAATGAAGGGAAACCCCAGAAATAATGAA